ATGCATAAACTTGTTAGGAAATGCCATCTAGTTGTTAAAACAAAAATTTCCAACTACTTTGTGATGGAGAATATGCAAGACAAAATCAATAATATATATTCCTGAAACTTTAATTTCTAGTAAAATTTAATTAGGACTATTCATATATAGTATTAAGTCTTTGATTTTACTAGTACCAATTAAAACATTACTTTCTTTTAAATTGAGTATAATATCCAAAAACATTACCCAAATCAAAGCTCTACTCTGAATTCAAAGATTCTCGAATGTTTTTTTTTTTTAACGTCGGCGATGTGCAAGAACGTTTCATGTCTCTTAATTTTTTTTAAAAAATATTTATAGATAACAGAATATTATCGAATTAATTTAAATTAATCAAAATTAAATCTATTATTTTTAAATTACATAAGCATCGAATCACATTTATATATTTTTTTTTATCAATTCTAAATTTCAAGTTCTATATGATTAGTCAAAGACATTTATTTTACCATTACACCTATAGTCTTTAGTGGTGCATGGTATCTCTAGTTCTACAAAAATTTGAATCACAGAGATTTCGCAAACTCAAAACAAATCCATCCATATATATCAAATAAATGAAGCTTAATTTTTTATTGCACTTACAATTTGATTGGAGAGGTTAGGTTGATTTTAATTTATTATTAATATAAGTATTTTTTTAGTTAATTTATACGTTATGCAAAACTAAATACTCATGGAAGCAATTTTAAGAACATAATTCTTATATCTAACTAGTATATATATCTAAATAAATTTAATAAATTCGTTTGATTAATGTCTTAATGTTTGAACTGATAGAGTCAAAAAATAAAGCAAAACCCCTTCATTACCATACTTATATCTTGAAATTAGGTTAGGTTGATAATTAAGGTTTTCGTATCCCATAAGTAATGGATTTTTTTTTTTTTTAAACTCAATTGGACTCAGAGTGGGCCCACCTGGCCCACGTTAAAATGGAAATCCTTGCGTCGCAATTCTAACGACACTCCAGATGCAGAATATAGTCCAACAAAAGAGCATAATGGAATATTCCCAAAATATTCAATCTAGTCAAAATCACAATAACTCTGGGAACCAAGCCATTGAATTTCTTGGACCAAAATCGAAAGCTTAATCTTATGGAAAATAAAAGTCCAAAAACAAATTAAGTAAATTATTAGTTAGTCCCTTGAGTTTAAAAAATGAATTAATTAGTTCATTTTGTTTCATAATAATTATTTAATCCTTTTACGAATATTGATTACGGTTAATTTAATATTATTTTATTTTAAAAATAAGTTTTGTATTAATCTTTCCATATTATCTTCTTTTTTTTGTCTAAAAACATAAAAAAATATATGAAAGGAACTTAAAATAGATGAAAAAATAAAAATAATTAGTTTCTGAAATAGAAAATACTAATTAATTCATTTCTCAAAAACTAAAAAGACTGATTTATAATTTACTTCAAAAAAAAATATCATCCAAACTTAATGTCGGTTGAATCGAAATTTCCAAAACATAAACCTATTTCATTATCAACCTTAATTTAATGCCTTAGCTCCCATATTAGACCAACTAACAAAACTAAAAACTTTGAAAATAAAAACCTCAAACTTTCATTGGACCGTTGGTTCCTTTCATGGCTACCCAGGTTAGTCCCTTTAGTTTAAAATGAATTAATTAGTTCATTTTGTTTCATAAATAATTATTTAATCCTTTTACTAATATTGATTACAGTTAATTTAATATTATTTTATTTAAAAACAAGTTTTTTATTAATCTTTTCATATTATCTTTTCTTTTTTTTTTGGTCTAAAAACATAAAAAAATATGAAAAGAACTTAAAATAGATGAAAAAATTAAAATATTAGTTTCTGAAATAGAAAATACTAATTAATTCATTTATCAAAAACTAAAAAGGACTAATTTATAATTTACTTCAAAAAAAATATTATCCAAATTTAATGTCGGTTGAATCCAAATTTCCAAAACATAAACCTATTTCATTATCAACCTTAATTTAATGCCTTAGCTCCCATATTAGATCAACTAACAAAACTAAAAACTTTGAAAATAAAAACCTCAAACTTTCATTGGACCGTTGGTTCCTTTCATGGCTAAACAGGTTGCCACGTGGCAACTCACCGTCCACAATATAAGATCTTGACACTTGCCATCACACGAGTCATATCAACTCCCATGCAACTTGACACGCAATAGATTTTTGTGGGACCCCATGCACCCCCACAACTAAAAAGACAGACTAGTTCTGCCCTCCACTTGTCGCTCGTGGTTCCCCTGTGGCAATTTTGAATATTTTTTTGGGTCGAAATTGACCTGCTAAATTTACCACTAGGTATATTCCTGTGGAACAAGGAGAGGTGTTTAGGTCGACACGTGGATAAAGTTGATTACGTGGCCTAAACAGTGTGCGCTTTCTTGTTTGGTTCGAAGAAGGATAATATGGTTTTAGAGATAGGCCGTCGTCGGTGGTGTTTGGATTTAATAGTTAATCAGGAAACAATTATTTTAATTAAACTTTTACTTTTACTTTCACTTTTCCTTTTCCTTTTTTCCCCCTTAAATAACACCTTGACAAAATTGCCCTCGATGAAGCATAAAATAGCAACAAAATCTTTTTAATAAAACGAAGTAAATAGAAGATGAAGGGTATTTGCACTTGCAAGAAAAATAAACTATTTTTATAGGGTTTATTTTGCTTTTTATTATTTTTTTCCTTTTACACTAAAATGATTTCATATCCAAATTTCTTTAGGAGTTACTCGTTTCATGAAATGCCCACCAGACTAGAACAAAGTCGCAACAAAATCTGGTGCAATTTAATGATGATCAAAGGTATTTTGGATTTAAGGAAAAAGAAATGATTTTAAAGATAAATAGGTTAATTTGCCATTATATAATATTACTTAATTTTTCAATCTATCTCCATGTTATATATATATATATATATTATGTTTTTAAATATTATTTAATTTATCATTCTGATATTTTTTTAACTTTAGGCAAATTTTTTTATCCAAATATTTTTCACTGAAACGAGAAAACAAATTCTAAAAATTTTTAACTATAAAGTCATATGACTTTAAGTGAGTTTTTTTTAAAAATTTCAAATCATAGAATTTGTCCTTAATGAAAATTAAATATTAAAAATTTAAATATTATTAAAAAATAATAAATACAATTAAAAACATAAAAATACACTAGAAATTAATTATCTTGATTCTCTAGCAACCGTCAGATTTTGGATTCTCCATTAATCTCCATGATGTCTTTTATTCATTTATTCATTGATAACAATTCCTTATCATAGTAAAATGCATGAAATGGACTTGTCAAATCTGGGTTCTCCATTAATTTTATAATATCAGTAATTTAATTTAATTTATTACTACTATAATATCAGTAAATATTAAACTATTTTTATAAGGTGTAATTTGCATTTTTTTTAACACTAAAATGTTTTCCATTCAATTTCTTTAAGAGTTACTCTTTTCATGAAATGCCCACCAGACTAGAACAAAGTCGCAACAAAATCTGATGGAATTTAATGAAGATCAAAGGTATTTTGGATTTAAGGAAAATAAATGATTTTAAAAGATAAATAGGTTAATTTGCTATTATATAATATTACTTATGCTTCCAATCTATCTCTATATTATTAATTATATTAATTGTATTTTTAAATATTATTTAATTTTAGATATATAAATTTTTTAATCAAAATATTTCTCATTGAAATAAGAAAATAAATCTAAAGGATTTTAAAATATAAAGTTATATAACTTTAAGTGAGTTTTTTTTTTTTAAAAATTTCAAATCATAGAATTTGTCCTTAATAGAAATTATATATTAAAGATTTAAATATTTTTGAAGAAAATAATAAATACAGTTAAAAACATAAAGATACATTAGTGATTAATTATCTTGATTCTCTAGTAACCGTCAGATTTGCGATTCTCCATTAAACTCCTGCATGTCTGGGATTCTTAATTAGCGTAAGCAAACTTATCCTAAACGTCAGTGTTTGCAAGTGGAAACCAACGATACGTCATAGAACATTTTATAAACCATAAATTTAGAGTAAATAATAAATTAGTCTTTTTAGTTTTGAAAAATTATTTATATAGTTTCTTTATTTTTTAACTAGTGTTGTTCACACTTAATTTAATATTATTTTATTATAATAAATATCTTATTTTTTCATTGATTTTTTTCATAATATCTACTATTTTTTAAAAAAAATTAGACAAAACGAAAACCTACTAAAAGACGAGAAATTTTATAATGCACAAGGAGTAACTCAGTGACATGTACGGTAGTTATTCCTGGACCCACTTTGAGGAGAGAGATAGACATATAAAAAGAGAGAGAGAAAATAAAAAAATTTGAGCGGACGTGAAAATCTTCTTATCACTTTTGATGGATATGAATGTAATTTCTTTTTCTTTTATGTGTCTATCTCTTTCTTCAAAGTGGACCCAAAGAGTAACTACTCGTAAATCCATTAGTTACTCCTTGTGTATTATAAAATTTTTCCTAAAAGACTAAATAATTGATTTTTTTTAAATCGTTAAATTATTTTTTAAATAGAAGGACTAATTTATAATTTTATCCAAAGTCATCATATTAAATTACATTTTATAAACCATTATGATATTAAAAAATCATCAACTTGTCAAACGTGGGCTCTCCTAAATTTTATAATATCAGTAATTTAATTTAATTAATTACTACTATATCTATCACTTATCTTAAGAAAACTAATTTAATGTCTCCTCCAATCCCTATATATACACCCTCTCCCTCACCGTAACTTCACTCATAACCAAAACCTTCGAAGATCAAAGCAATATAGTTTTCTGCAACCTTAAATTTTCTCTCTTTTTTTCCAAGCAAACAATCACTTTTTATTTCTCTAACCAAAAGACACTAAAAAGTCTTGTACACCTCATTTTCTTGATAACTTTGATACCATGGCTCCTTATATTACTAGTACTCTTGCTAACAACACCAACTCTCTTGTCAAGCAAGCTAGCATATCAAGTTGTGCATATGTTACGTTTTTGGCTGGTGATGGAGACTACTGGAAAGGTGTTGTGGGGTTAGCCAAGGGGTTGAGGAAGGCCCAAAGCAAGTATCCACTTGTGGTGGCTATCTTGCCTGATGTTCCTGAGGATCATCGCAAGATTCTTGTTTCTCAAGGGTGCATTGTGAGAGAGATCGAGCCTGTTCATCCTCCTGAGAATCAGGACACTCATTTTGCTATGGCTTATTATGTCATCAACTACTCCAAGCTTCGTATATGGGAGGTATGCATGTCTTGCACGTACTAGCTTGCAGTACTTTGGGTTTCTTTTGATGAAAAAGAAGAAGAAGAAGAAGAAATTGCTTTAACTTGTATATCCATATACATAGCTCCTAATTTTTTTTTTTTTTTAATGATCTTTGATAACAGTTTGTGGAGTACAGCAAGATGATATACTTAGACGGTGACATCCAAGTGTTTGATAACATAGACCACCTCTTTGACATGCCTGATGGCTACTTCTATGCTGTGATGGACTGTTTCTGTGAGAAAACATGGAGCAACAGCCCACAGTACAAGATTGGTTACTGCCAACAGTGTCCTGATAAGGTCAAATGGCCTGCTGAGATGGGTCCTAAGCCTCCTCTTTACTTCAATGCTGGCATGTTCGTTTATGAGCCAAATCTGTCCACGTATCATGACCTTTTGGAGACCCTCAAAGTCACCGCTCCTACCCTCTTTGCTGAGCAGGTAGAAATCAATGCAATGAAATTTTTATCTTAGGATTACTTCCTTCAGGAGATTTTTAATCTGACATGTTTTTAATTTATCTTGGCAGGACTTCCTGAACATGTTCTTCAGGGATATTTACAAGCCAATTCCTTCAGATTACAACCTTGTATTGGCCATGTTATGGCGCCACCCTGAGAACATTAACCTTGACAGAGTCAAAGTTGTTCACTATTGTGCTGCTGTAAGTATTTACCTTGCTCCATAAGTTCATCCATTTGGAGCTCAAGTTCTACTATTCTAATGGGGTTACACATATATTGGTCTGCAGGGGTCTAAGCCATGGAGGTACACAGGAAAAGAAGAGAATATGGATAGGGAAGACATCAAGATGTTGGTCCAGAACTGGTGGGACATTTACAATGATGAGTCTTTGGACTACAAGAACACTGTGGTTGCTGCTGCTGAAGCTGAACTGCAACCATTCCTGGCGGCGCTATCAGAGGCTGGTGTCGTTCACTACGTTGTCGCCCCATCCGCTGCTTAGTCCTTGTAGGTTGTGAAGCATTGGAGCTTGTAGTTTTCATTAGTCAAATTGTATAGGAAAACAATGTCTTTTTACGGTTTGTATTTGTTGACAGTTTGCTGGCTGTTAATCTCCCCTATATTTTTAAGTGGGATATTGTTCTTTTGTAGTTATAGGAAGTTTGAGGACCTTTTATCCCTCTAGTAAATTTATGGACAGGTTTTTTAGTGCATACACAACTTTTATCTTCATTTGTTTTATATTGATATAGATATTTTGTGTTTCGAGAAACTCGTTTTTCGGATTTGCTTTGATTAATGTCAAATTCCAGTCTTCAATATTTTCTTTCATATCATTTCAATTCCATCCTTTTTCTTTTTCATTTTATTCGAATCTAATAAAATTAGTATCTTATGATAGGATTAACTTTTTGATTTGAAAATGGTACTCGAATTTATGGAAATTTTAATTAAGCAATTGTTAATTAAGTCTTTGATTTTACAGAAGTTTTAGTAAAATCAATCTTAAAACACAAAGCAAACTAAAACCATCTTAAAACTATTGTGGAATAAATTGAAAAAATTAAAAACAAAGTTGTTTTGCACTAAGCTGATTTTTAACATATATTCAGAGATTTTATTTAATCAAGTTGATTTAAATATAAAGAATTTTAATTCTTTAAACAAGTAATTTTGATTTCAAGAGTTCTTATGCATGCAGTAAACTCATTCAATAGCTGCTTCTGCTTTGAATTTTTTATTAAATAGATAGATTAATTTATATCTTTAGGTCTAGAATATCTTAAAAATCTCGATAAAATTAAGACAAAGTCCTCCCTCTTTATATATATATATTATCGAAACCTTTATTTTGCATTTAGGCATCGAGTTCAAAGCATAATTTATATATACATATTAATTTTGGTAGGGATTACCATTTGGATAAGGAGTTGAGAAGATTAGCTTCATAGATAAGGACGTGTGTTGGTAATTTTAATCGTCTGAAAATTCAGATTAGGTTTGAGAAATAAACATTTAGAATCACCTAATCCTACTATAGATGGAGTTGATTCAACCGAGAGAATTGAATTACTTCAGGAGAAATAACAAATACAATACGTCAATAACATGAGCCACAAAAAAACTACGAAGTTTCATGCATCGTTTTCAAACTTGCCTGGACTAGTAGGTCGAGGGGAAGGTGATGACTTGAGGCATAGGTTACGTTGGGTTTCAAATCCAAACATCTAGGTGATTTGATTCAATCCAAATTTGATTAATTCAAACAAGTCAACTCAATCAACTCACCTAATCCGATAGAAATCCAACTGGGTTAAAAATAAAAAGAAGTAAATATTTTTTTATTTTTAATTTTCTTAATCCAAAACAAAAAATAACTTAATTATCTATAAATTGACCTAATAAAAGCTTGATGACTCGAACACTGTTCTTTTTAATAAAAAAACAAAAAACGAGGAAGAACTAATTAATGTTTTGTAGCACTTAAAGAATTAAGTTTGTCTTTTCTTATAGCCACGCCAACAATCATCAGTAATTTGAAATTTTATTTGTCACAGTTCAAAAGATAGTATTGATTTTATCATAAAGGATATTACGATTATGAAAAAGATTTGTTTTTTTTCCTTAATTTTTTGAATTTGAATTTAGAAAATTGATATTGAAGAAAAATTGTTAAATTCTTTGAAATGTATTAAACTGAAGTAAAATACGTATATTTAAAATCATCTAAAAAGTAATTAATTTCGATTAAAGCAGAAATTGAATCGAAAATATCCTTATATTAATTAAAAAAAATTCTAAAAACACTCGCACAATGTTATCGCATAATGGTATATTCCACAGGTTAAATCTAGTCAAATTCAGTAGAACCAAGTCCATGATTTCGTGGTCCAAAATCAAAACTTTATCTTTTTACTAAATAAAGTCAAAAAATATTATCCAAAACCAAGTGTCGGTTGAATCAAAATGTCCCAAAACATGAACCACAACCTAATACTTTAGGTCCCACACATTAGACCAACTAACAAAACTAAAAAATTGTCCAAGAATAAAATAAAGGTCCATGACCCATGCATCATGACACGCAACCGCTTTTTGCGGACCCCATCAATTACTCGCCCCAAAAAACATAAAACGCTTTGTGCCTGCCACGTGCCTACTGATTCCACGTGTAAACTAGAAGTTTGTGGGTCCTGCTAGACCTACTAAATTCACTGCTAGGTATATCTAAGAAACAACATGCCCCTAGGCGAGTGGCACGTGGACAACATCGATTAGGTGGCTTAAACCGTGTGGGCCTTCGTGTTGGGTTCTAGGGGTTGCTGTGGTATTAATGGTGGGCCCCGGTCGGAGGTGCTTCACTGGTATTTTAATTACACTTTTACTCTTTTACCTTTATTTTTTGTTTTTTTAATAATTTTGCTTTCGACTCAAGTAAGAATACGAAGTTGGGAAGATATTCGTTTATTTTGGATAAAGGAAACATTTTTATTGAGAAAGATGTTTCCTTTATTGAGAAAGATTATTGGCTATAAAATTTTCAATATATTCACCTCAAACCGGAGTTTTATTAGTAATTATCAAGATATAATGATATATTTATTATTTAAATTTATAAAATTATTAACGGATTGGATTCGAATTTTATTACCGTAGGCTTGAATCTGATTTAGTCAATAAATATTAAATTTTATGAATTTAATTTGAATTTTGTAACTATTCAAAATAAATATTTTATGAATATATAAAGAAACAAGACACTATTTTTACGAGCGTAAAAAAGCAATATTCTAGAAATATCGAATAATTTTTTAACCGAATTTATTACGTCTATGCCCTTTCAATCTCCTTTTCCTTTTATGGTTACCCTTTTGACGCAAACACCGTAAAGATTGGGTGCAAATCTGAACAAAATCTTCTGCAATAAAAGGTAATCAGTCGAAAAGATCAAAGGGTATTTCGGTTTAAGAAGAAAAAAGAAAATAATTTTTAATAAGGTTATCTTGCACCGTCCAATTTCATGAATCTCTCGTAACTTTTAGATTATTTTAATCCATAAGAACCGTCTGATTTGGATCATCAATTAATCTCCTATGTCCTTTGGGATTTTATCCTAAACGTCACCGTTTACAACAAATGAAAACAGGTGACCCAAAGAAAGATTCAAAATCTTATCTAATGGCAAGAAATTGACTTGCCAGATTAGCGTGGACTCTCTTCAATTTTATATTAATTATATAATATTTCTTCCCAGCCATAGAAAGATCATTAATTTAATTTAATTAATTACTACTGTATCTCTCACTTACCATAAGAAATTTAATTTAACGCTTCCTCCAATCCTTATATATACACCCCTCCACTCGACACATTTTCACCCATAACCAAAACCTTCAAAGATCAAAGCATTATAGTTTTCTTCAAAACCTTAAATTTTCTCTCTGTTTTTCTTAGTAAACAAACAATTTGTTTCAAAAACCTTTTCCTTTCTCCAACCAAAAGAATTTTTTTGATAACTTTGATACCATGGCTCCTCATATTACTAATACTGTTGTTAACAACACCAACTCTCTTGTGAAGCAAGGAAGCATATCAAGTTGTGCATATGTTACGTTTTTGGCTGGTGATGGAGACTACTGGAAAGGTGTTGTGGGGTTAGCCAAGGGGTTGAGGAAGGCCCAAAGCAAGTATCCACTTGTGGTGGCTATCTTACCTGATGTTCCTGAGGATCATCGCAAGATTCTTGTTTCTCAAGGGTGCATTGTGAGGGAGATAGAGCCTGTTCATCCTCCTGAGAATCAGGACACTCAATTTGCTATGGCTTATTATGTCATCAACTACTCCAAGCTTCGTATCTGGGAGGTATGTGTGCATTTGTTACTAACTAATACTAGTAGTACTTTAAATCATTTTGTGTATTTTTTATAATCTGATTGGGGACTTGAACCAAAAACAAATTGATTGCAGTTTGTGGAGTATAGCAAGATGATATATTTGGACGGTGACATCCAAGTATTTGATAACATAGACCATCTCTTCGACATGCCTCGTGGCTACTTCTACGCTGTGATGGACTGTTTCTGCGAGAAAACATGGAGCAACAGCCCACAGTACAAGATTGGTTACTGCCAACAGTGTCCTGATAAGGTCAAATGGCCAGTTGAGATGGGTCCTAAGCCTCCTCTTTACTTCAATGCTGGCATGTTCGTTTACGAGCCAAATCTATCCACGTATCATGACCTTTTGGAGACCCTCAAAATCACCGCTCCTACCCTCTTTGCTGAGCAGGTAAAGTAATATTATACTTATCTTGTTCGGGAATTGTCGGCAGGAAAATTAAATCAGACACTAATTTAATTTCTTTTTCTTGGCAGGATTTCTTGAACATGTTTTTCAGGGATGTTTACAAGCCAATTCCTTCAGATTACAACCTCGTATTGGCCATGTTATGGCGCCATCCTGAGAACATTAACCTTGACAAAGTGAAAGTTGTCCACTATTGTGCTGCTGTAAGTACTTATCATGCTCAATAATTTTGTTCATTTGGAACTCAAGTTCTGCCATTCTAATGGCGTTACACATATGTTGGTCTTCAGGGGTCGAAGCCATGGAGGTACACGGGAAAAGAAGAGAACATGGACAGGGAAGACATCAAGATGTTGGTCCAGAAATGGTGGGACATTTACAATGACGAGTCCTTGGATTACAGGAACACTGTGGTTGCTTCTGCTGGATCTGATCTGCAGCAACTCTTGGCGGCGCTGCACGAGGCTGGTGTTGCTCACTACTTTACCGCCCCATCCGCTGCTTAGTGATTGTAGGTTGGGGAGCACTGGAGCTAGTAGTTTTAGGTAGTCGAATTGTAGAGGAAAACAATGTCTTTTACAGTTTTTATTTGGTGACACAGTTTGCTGATTGTTGATATCCCCTATATTTTCAAGTGGGATATTGTTCTTTTGAATTTGCTAGTAATTTTGTGAGGACCTTTTATCCCTCCCCTAG